CTGAACACTCACACGTTACTCTTATTACACAAAGCTTCACGGAACACCACTGCACACCTCCTGCACATGACCCAAAAGCCCAGTAGACAAAAACCTTTCATTTCAAGCGTGTGGCAAAGACTTGAATGGGCCGCCATCTTGGGAACCCTTGGCTTGGGCCCAGTGGGGGTGGGTCTGGCTCAAAACTGTCCATAAATGTGGTTGCAGTACCACACCAGGCCGGTGGGGGTGGACCCGGAATAAGAATTAGCCAATGCTAATGTATGGTGTCTTCTTAAACGTCGAAAACATCTTTACAGGATGGTCCAAAAGTCGTTTCTTAGCTCAAAGCTACGTTGCAGATGTGTGTCAATGCTGAGGGGAGTATATTTTTTGGACCAGTGTAGTTTAGCCTCATTCATTCACTTGATACATTTTTGGATTTATGGTAGCAGGGTTCCTCCTGATTGGATTTGGAGTTGGCTTGATCTACCGCAAAGTTGGAGGGCTGTCCACTCAGAAGATTTACGAGCGGCTGTCCGCGGAAAACAAGGAGAGTTTCCGCGAGTTGGTCAGAGTCGTGGTCGAGGGCACAGTGGGGACACAACGGGGTGTGAGTCGGATCGAACATTCCCTTAATGACCTGGGAGTGAGATCTTTGGATGGACTTAAACGCGTGGAAGGATTGATTGAAGGACTTGGGCCTCACGGTGGAACCTCGTACTGACGTGGTCAACTCCGGATAACGGTGAACGGAGGGTCCAGTTCCAGTATAATTTGGACATATTGGCTTTAGTTTACACTGCCTTTTATTGATCAGCTAAAGTGCTTATACAAATTTCCCACAAGGGCATGTGTTGTTTTGTCTCCAATGTTTGCAGGCACCTGCGCTATCTTTGTCCTTCACATTCCACCACCACTGCTACACCGGCCACTCAAGGCCGACACTGGACTCTATCTAACTCAGACTCACAACCCATAACACCAGTTACAGTCCCCCCCCCCCCCTTCTACATGTCTGCCTCCCTCTCTTTCAGTCTATGGTGGTCTTCCCCTCCACCTCCCCCACCCACACTCCACTCTGACGCGCTATATTGGACGAGGCGGGCCAGAGTGATGACTTCCCATTAAAAAGATCCGCATGTTTTCCACATGTACCGTGTCTCTCCCATGTTTGTTGAAATATGTGTCTGTTTTGCTCTCTGCTGTTGAATAACTGTCATAAGGAGCGTGGCCGGCCTTGATGTTTATTCATCGAACTGAATTTCTCCATCTGTGTGAGATAATAAAGGATTGATTGATTGATTGATGAATGAGGCTAGTGCCAGCTGTTGCATGCGCAAATGCGTTTGTTCACATTTTCCTGCCCCGTTGCCATTTTGAAACTGCCCGTAGAAGCCAAAAGAGGTGGCACATTAGTTTTAATGGCAGAGATAGGCATGACTACGTCCGTTAATATTTACAGTCTATGCTTGGGCCGCCTCCTTAAGCCCACATAAGTTAGTCATTAAAAATGTGTAAATGGAATCCAGCGCTCCCTCGACAGAAACCAGACATTATTGACACATTTGATATTAATATTGTCACGTACAGAGAAGAACATAATAGTGGTCGATGTGTGATAGAGATGAGAACTAAATTGACCAAAAGCATATTTCTGCATGTGTCCGTTGGGTCTGTCTGGTTGATAGTACCTGACAGTGTTTTGGAGTGGGAGTGGTGCTCAAGCAGATGGTGCGGTTTGTGACTTTAACCTTTTCTTCAGGATAAATAAAAACAGACACCTCCATCTGTTTCCAGCCTCGTTCGGAAATGCAGTTCTGACGCCTGGACACAACTGCTGACAACGCAACAAAGTCTCTTCTCCTTCGGATTTATGCCCAAAAGTTCATCGCAGTCTTATTCTGTGCACTTTTTCAGTTGACATTAAAAATCTTCTCTCAAAGTTTGTCATCAGACATAAATTTGTTAGCTACAAAGCTCTATCTGAGTCAGTGGGACTTTGAATACTCATATACTTTCAAGCCGTACCTGCATGTGGAATCCAAATCCAGTCAGACAACTGAAGCTGTGCAGGGCAGGGCCTGGTTAATACTGCGATGGGAGACCTCTGGGAACACCGGGTGGGGCATTTGTGGCTGTAAAGTGCCAAAGCTTTGATATTTCCCAAGACAAGACACTTCACCCACATTGCCTAGAATGGGTCTGGTGTGAGTGGAAATGGTTGGTGGTAGTGGGAGGGGCCGATGGTAACATACTGGTTGTCCCAACTTCAGAGGCGGAGCCAGAGGGGTAGCCAGGGTGGCCACTGCCACCTCCTCTAAAAATATCCTTGCCACCCCCATTGTCCCCCGTCGGAAGACGGCAATGTAATAATGTGAATATCTTGAAAATGTTCTGCACTTTTTCTGCCGAAAAGTAAAAATTCCCACGGTTTCCACAGTCTGTGAACGCACCCTGACTCCGTGTTGAGCATGGATCTAGCTGTATGCTAGTAGTCCTCTTCATTGGTTTTTGAACTCACATGTGCCGAGTCATGATGAAAACAAAGGGTAAGTGGCACAGGGCCAACATTTGATATAAAGTATAGACATATGTACTGCAGCGCATTACTCGTTCAGTTTGTAGTACTTGTACTGTGTGGATGTGTGTGTGTGTGTGTGTGCGCACAATTGCACAGTGTATCATTGCCCTCTTTCCTTTAGTGTAAACATGAAAAAACAAGGAGGAGACATATGTCTTTTTGTTTTTTATTATTATAACTCCATCCAAATATTTAGTATTTGGATGGAGTGTAGTTTCTTGACCCCAAAAATCCTTCATTTTTGAAAGAAGAGCCCCTGTTTGCATTTGGCAGAACCTTTGAGTCAGATATAGTGGACTTTAAGCATGAGGTACATCAAACTAGGCGGCTTCTTGTGAGGAGAGAAAAAAATGATTAAAGACTTCCTTGTCTTTTTGGAACCATTCAAAGAAGTGTTTCATGAGCTTTTCAGGCTTGCAAAGATCTCTGTTGTAATACCTGTCAGTACTGCATCTGCAAGAAGTTTTTCTGCCCTAAAACTTATTGAAGAACTACCATGGCAGATGATAGATTGAGTCATCCCCAGTGTAGAGTCAAGGAGGGCTAAGGGGCTCAATATGGATGAGTTTGTCAACATCTTTGCTGCTTTACACCAGAACCGCATGATTTTTCTTTGCTGATATCCTGTAAAAAAGTTGCCTACATATGTTAAAAGAAAAAATTAATGCAATCTTTGAATGATGTCATTTTGCACTTTTTTTCTTCAGACTACTGTTTAAATGCACTTTTTTGCTTTGTAGTGCACTCAGTTCACTTTATATAAAGAATAAAGATAAGATTAAGATTAAAATGTATCGTTTAGCCAGCTTTTGTGTGAAATAAAACGTCTGAATAGTATAAATGTGGACCCCTTAAAAAAACCCTTGCCACCCTCTGTTTAAAAGTCTGGCTCCACCACTGTCTTGCTTCTGTCAGTGTGCCCCACAGGGCAGCTGTGGCTACAGCAGTACCATTGTGTATGAAGTGAAAGAAGTGTTTGAGCGTCCAAAAAGTGCTATAAGGAAACCGATGCATTATTATTACTTAAATAGTAGTAGTACTACAAAAAATGTAACTATGAAACTAGTTCCTCTCTATCAAAACAGTTCTGTCACATCTTTATATTGAGCTTCAGACAAAATCATGGAACAGACGACCACCCTCAGTCAAATAGTGACTCTTAGTAGTGTTTTCTAATAAAACGAGCACGGTTTAGTCTGATTTGTTCAGAATACAACGTGACTATATTTCTTGCATTATTGTTGCAGATACTGTACATCCATTGTTTCAGACTACTTCTTTTTAGCTTGTAAAGTTGTGCCAACAGAAAAATGTAAGCAGCTCAAATAAATGTATATAAATACTATCTATCTTCTTTGCAGAAAATAGTTTCTAATAAAATAAACTCAGGCATAGATAAGTCCAATCTTAACCTAAAATCCTACATAAACTATATTTGGACTTGGAATACTGTTCTTTATTAGCAGCATAGATTATGAGCAGAATAAGTTAAAGTGGGTAAAGTAACTGTAGTGAGTTGTCAATGAGGCACTTTGACGTGTGTATTATGAACTCATGTCAAAGTGTCAGTGTTAGTTTGCTTTTACTGTTGTCTAAACTTCTATATTGGTTGCATGGGGCCACTAAAGGCAAGTCGTTCTATCATGTGTGTGTGGGTCGCTCAGTGTGTGAGGAAAGAACGACCCAGGGTTTTTAGTCACTGGGAATGTAATAGTAATTATAATTCATTGTGCTTTTTTAGACACTCAGAGACACTGGAGAACACTGACAGAAGCGAGGGAACCAGTATGTGCCATGGGCCTCTTCGACCACCACCATTCATGCGGACATTCTAGGCAATGTGGGTAAAGTGTCTTACCCAGCGTCAGTTTGGAACTTTACAGCCACAGCCTCCCCACTGTGGCACCCGGTGTTCCCCAGAGGTCTCCCATCACAGTACTAACCAGACCTGCCCCACCTAGCCTAATAGGTCTGAAGGGATCTGGCTTTCACATGCAGGTATGGCCACTGTACTGTCTTATCTGTTTATACTCCTCTGACTGTAGTGGTAAAAAAGGCTCTTAAAGTGCTTCATTATAACATCAGTGCACTCCAAAAGAGCTCTTTGTAATCACCAGAGACTTAAATCCAACTAAACTCACCTACGTGCTGCCAAACTCCTACAAGCCCGTTGGTATTTCTACACGAGGTGCATATAAGGCAACAACAGGTTTTTCAAGTTGACAAAAACAATGTTTGTGTTGGAATTGGGCGATGTTGCCAATGTTGTTAGCATATGGCAGCAAAAAGCCTGGGACAGTGTTGCTTAATCGACACATGAAAGCGTGTCAGCGTGCAGAAGAAGAGGCAACAACAAGCCCAGTGCCAGTCTGTTCCCACACCACAGCACAGTCTTGAAAGCGTTTGCTAAAAAAACTGGCAAAAAGTTGTTAAGAAAATGAAAGCGACGCCGGTGGTCGGTGACGTGGGGCTGAGCACAGACGACTACAGAGACATGAGTTACGCCGCAGTCACGTGTCAGTCGCTAATATTGCAGCAGCGTTTGTTATTCTTCCACATTCCATTTTATTCCTGATTTTGGATTTTCAGTGCACGACTCTTTAAAGGCGCTTCTGTTAATATTTTCATCTATGACACACGTGGCTCAGTAGAGATCAATATTGAGCCAGAGGGAATAACTTTCAACAGTCTCTTTGACAGAGAATTATACCTGCGGCCTGCTAGACAGCAATTGACCTTGGCCCGCTGCGTCTAAACAGTGCGTCACCCTCCTGCATTGATGCTCGAGCTTGTGCTGCAACCCTCCTCCACATCACAACCTCGGTGGAGATTTGCGGCCCCTTATTAACTTAAAATGTCAGAATTTTCACATTTTTGACAAGTCAATGCGCTGTGAGGCAGGATTCAGCCTCACTTGGGTGACGTAAAGGCCTCAGCTCACAATGCTGGGAATGCTGTGCTGTGAGATGATTCTGTTTGACATTGTTGCGCTGCAAAGAAGCAGAGAGCAGAGGAGGGCGGGATTGCACCGGGACAGTGCTACTTATACTCCTGTCCTGAGCTGCAAAATATTGCAGCATTGGATATGCTGTAATTACACAAGAGTGTTCTGGTGTGCCTTTGGAAAAGATCCATTAACAACGAATTGATCCAAATACTGTGAAAAGAAAATGAGTGTACACGGGTTTACAATTTAACGAGAATCAAAAATGTTTCAATAAAGGCTGCAGAGAAACATTTTTGTTTCAGTTTCAGTCGGTGGTCGGACGCTTTCAATTACAAAGGTGTGTCGCAGCTCAAAAAGGTCGGGGAACACTGGTTTGGAGCACAGAGAGACCTGACCACAACATCAGTCGTTTAGCGAACAACACTTAATCCGCTAAAAGTGCTTCGTTCTGAAAAGGAAGCAGCAGATGCTTAGCACAGATGTTTTTGTAGGATTATTACAGAAAGAGCTATGACAATATTTTATGTTAAGAGGATTCACAGATTTTGTGAACCGGGACTGGCCCCAGTCTGTGAGGGCTGGTCATCAGTGAGAGTCAACCCGTGGCGGTTCACCGAGCTCACATGCAGGTGTGGATGTACGAGCCGACAGACACATGCCTGGATGACATGAGACACACACGCTACTGGTGACAACAATGAGCATTCTGCTGTAGAAATGATTCCTAGCGCAGTTCTGATCTCTCGCTTGTGTACGTCCCACCTGTTAGCTTAGCCCTGTTAGCTTAGCCCTGTTAGCATACACAGGCTGAGCAAACACAAAGGACCTGTGGTGTGCTGTGGCGTCTCTAACAAACACCAAACCGAGTCAAAAGCCACGCTCTGTTTATGGATGCTCCTCTGAGAGATTCCAACCAACAACCTGAGCACACACAACCAAGCCAATCCAAACCAGGACACTTTTCTACCCGGCTGCACTCTTTTGGAAAAAATATATAATTGGGATTATTCTTGGACGAACCTTGCTATCATGATTTGTTTTGATTATTTTGCCGTTAAAGTAGACATACAGTATGTGAAATCTTGTTATAACCAGGTCACAAAATCAATTAGGTCAGTTGTTAGAATTCATATCTGGATTTACAAAGACAATGGAAATGCAAACATCAGCATCATAGACAGCCCTAAATCATGTTTTTCTTAATGTAGCAATATGTAAGATTTTCATGTCAAGTCATCATTAAAGGGCCCTAATCTGTCAAAAGACATTAATAAAACCTTCTCTTTTCCAATACTTCTTTATCTGATAACAGTAGTTCAGAGACATTTGGATTTCAAAATTAGTTTTACAGCCCAAAAATCCTGTTATTGTTTTTGTTTTGATGTCCCGCCCTCCACCGTTTCACCAACCAGAAAGTCTGTGATCCGGGCGCCAGAACTCACTGCGTTGAGCTAATCTCACTGGTAAAGTACCATGTGGCCACAGAACTAAAAATGGTCTTGTTATGATTCTCAAATCATTGACGACAAAACAAGGAATAAAACAAGGGTTCGATTTTTTGGTCGTTGGTTATAGATTTGTTGTTGACAAAACTCTTGTCTATTCAGCTGTTATAGTCCCAGCTAGATTCTTCTGCATATCTGGCAACCTGAGTCAGGAGAGTGGGAGAGGCTGCAGTACCAATTTTTGCCAGATTTTTATATACTGCTCCTTTAAAGCCCAGAATTGTGAGTGGTGATGTAAGGCACTGTGGCTTTGATATTCAGGTGACGTGAACTCTGCCTCTTCGTTGGAGACCAGGAAACTCGTTCACAGAGTTCCCTCCTTCATTTCTAAAAGGAAAATGATCAATTGGTCCAAATGAAAGGCGCACACTTGAATTCAACCCAAGACATTTCATCGGCTGAAAGCAAAACAACAGAAAGAAGAAATTACTCATAATAGAAATGATTGACAGCTGCCATGGAACAGCTGGGCAGCCATTTGTCTCGACACTAATAGTCCAGGTCGTTTGTGTTTATGTCACCAGCTTACCGGTACTTTCTGTTCTTTTGAGTGGTTCGTCGCAGTTCTGAAACTAAAAAGAAAATGCAAGCCCTGTTTGTTCAGGGCTAATGATCACACGACCCACATATTTAAGGTGAGTTTCTTGTTTTACTTATTTAATCACATTAGTAATCATTCCTGCTATTACCACAACATATTTTACATACTCATACCCTCCTCCCTTTCTCAGCTTTGGATCTCCCACTAGTGCGCACACACACACACGCACACACACACACACACACAAGCACACACACACACACACGCACACACGCACACACACACACACACACACACACACACCCTATCCTAGCTTTCCCAGTTGTACTTTTGTTGTATTGTAATCAACACTGTATTCTGACTGTTATCTGCATTATGTGTTTTTACTGTATGCTTGTCACTTTATGATTGGATCAAAATAAGATAAAAATAGGGAAAAATAAGAAGGTCCTTTTTATGTCCCACAATGGGGAAATTTCAGTTTGACGCATACATATACACACACACAGTACATATACATATACACGTACACATCAAGGCAAGCAGCGAACATCACTTCCACGCTCCTTATAGGCAAAGTGGGTTAAGTGTCTTGCCCAAGGACACAACGACAGCAGACATCAGTGGGAGTCGGTGGAGAAGGTCTGGTGGTGGACTCGAACCCACGACCTTCGGGCTTAAGGCAAGGCAAGGCAAGGCAAGTTTATTTGTATAGCACAATTCATACACAAGGCAACTCAAAGTGCTGAACAAGATGGCATTAAAATCATAAATAATCACAGAACATTAAAAAGAAAGATAAAAATATAAAATCCCTCAGTTGTATGCACAGCTAAAACAGCACTGTCTTTAGCCTGTCTCACATCTTCAGGAAGACTGTTCCAGATTTTAGCAGCATGAATCTGAAAAGCAGCCTCCCCATGTTTAGTCCTGACTCCGGGCACTCCAGTCCCTGTGCTCCTCAGAGTCCGGGCTGGTTCATATGGGACTAACATGTCACTAATATATTTTGGTGCGAGGCCATGGAGAGATTTGTAACAAGCAGAGCTGTTTTAAAGTCTATTCTCTGAGCCACAGGAAGCCAGTGCAGAGACCTGAGGACTGGACTAATATGGTCGTACTTCCTGGTTCTAGTCAGGACTCGAGCTGCTGCATTTTGAATGTACTGCAGCTGTTTTACAGCCTGTTTGGACAGACCTGTGAGCAGGCCATTGCAGTAGTCTAACCTACTGGAGACAAATGCATGGATAAGAATCTCCAAGTCTGCTTTAGACACTATGTTTTTGATCCTGGCAATGTTTTTTAGAAGGCCAATGCTCTACCAACTGAGCCACTGTCGCTCAGTTCACAAAAAAAGGTGAGTTTTGAACATGTTTTTTTCTGAATTGTGCGTTTTAATCGTGCTTTTTAGGCTGAGAACACTACACTGTAGGTAGAAGTTTCCACATAGTTAGCCAGTCTTCAAACTCAAAATATTTGGATTTTTCAAAACTTTCGGAATCAAAGAGTGCAGGATTTGCAGTTCCAAACTTGACCCAGGCTGCTTCCTGATTGGTGCAAAAGTTTCTAGAGGTGTTTTTCCCACCAAATATCTTATCTATTGGAGAATCCTAAAACATCGGCTTATCTGTATTCTTATTTTATGTGCCGTTTATTTACACACGGGTCTGAATAGTGGGGGTCCGTCAGGGGGGTACCAGGAGGGCCAATCACAGCAGCATGCATTATTCAACCTCATGTGATTAGGCCCCACTCCAGAAACATGAATATTTAATGACGCGCACATTTCCATATCTCTCTATAACAGCTTTATTATGGAGGCAGCGACCAACAGGGACGAGCCAATCACGTTACACCGCACTTCAATCTATACTCCTCTAATTAATAATGCAGAAGGATCACGGAGGATGCATCTGTCAGACTGCTGCTGGAGAAAAGTAAATTGAAACGTTTGTGTTTGTGAAAATAAAGTAATTATAGACACTGTAAGTGATGGAAACGAAGCAGTCTGGTATAAACTCATATTTGAGTGATTTCATTGTATTTTGTATAAAGAAAAAATTAAAAGAGCAGACACAGAGCTGCAGGGAATACAATACTACAAATACACAATAATAAACTGTACATATCAAAACAAACACAATAACGACTAAATACACTTTAAATCTGACTCCATAGACTGAAACCACGTAAACGATATGAGCGAGAAACAAGACCCGATAATCCAGGACACTCTAAAATTCTTCAACACGTAATAACGGCTTATTAACCGAGTGAGAGGTCTGTATGGAGAAATATCAGACCGTGGCCTTTTTTGTACATGTCTGTGCAAAAAGGCCAAGGTCTGATATTTCTCTGTACAGACCGAGCAAGCGAGGTTAATAAATGTTTTATTATATGACTCTCGTCTGTGTCTTTACCAATGCTTTTGAGATATTTATGAAGTACGTTCATGTCCGACTTGGTTTTGTGTGATACGCGCTGCGGACAGATTGTCATGGTAACGGTCCGAGATGGGAAAATATCAGACCGGTAATCAGCCAATCAGAGCGCGCGTACGGTCCAAGTCATATAATAAGGACATTTATCAACATTCATGGACATTGGTCTCTCCGTATGGACCAATTCCTATGTGTATATTTTGTGTTTTAACTGTTGATTCTCTGATCTGTGTTGGTGATTTCAATGGTTTTGTTAAGTTCCCTGAGATGACGCTGTTGTGATTTAAGGCTATACAAGAATAAATTGTATTGTATTGTAATATTTAGGGCAACAGTAGCTCAGTTGGTAGAGCATTGGGCTTTGAGCCGGGTCGAATTGACTCGCCACAATGATTAAAAAACATGTCCTAACTTGACCAGCCCTGGGTCCTTTTTTGAGCCTTGTTTAGGATATTTTTCTTCTATTTTTTTAGTCGCTGTGTTGGGTCATTTAGACTTGAGTTGTGCAGAGGGACCAGGAGAACCAGGAGGACAGGCACCAGCCTTCCCTGGCTACGCCTTGGCCAATGCAGACCCTGGGGAAGTCCAACAGCTCTACCATGGCACTAAGAGCGACTTGGGTCTGATTGACACTTCCGGGTAAAAATAAAGAAAGATAGGATAAGATAGACTTTATTGATCTCACTCTGGAGAAATGCACAGGTGTTCAGGTGTTTTCTCTTTGAATGACGTTTGTTTTAGTCTGAGAGCTGTTGAAAAATGTTTTACACTTGAAATGAAAGTCAGTCACACAAAAATATTGGATTATTCATGTAATCATTAAATAAAATACGGTGCACTGTTAGGTCGTGGCTCTATAGGTTACATGCAATCATTTTAATATTCTTTAAAGAAACATTGAACCAGTCCGGCCTTCGGTGTGTAGCATGTATTTGACTTTGACGTCCCTGATTTAGAGAGATGGGGTGGGGAAATGTGTTCCTGACATTAGTGTGACTGGAGCTAAAAACACTTGCAGGTCATAACATTCATTTTTTGTTTATGTTGTCAATTTTTGCACTTATTTTTTGTCATTTGTAGGTTTTAGAGCGAGAGACTGGAGCTTACTGTTTCACTGTGGCACAAACACAACTTCAGTTTTGTTGTTTTTGTTGTTGGAAAGTTGTTTTGATTTCACCTGCTATTTTGTAAAAGTTTTTTCTCACCTCAATTGTGTGTGTGTGTGTGTGTGTGTGTGTGTGTGTATGTGTATGTGTGTGTGTGTATTTCTGTGTTTGTGTGTGAAGACTTTTGACTCCAGTTACTCTGCTCATGTCTCACTGCTGCCGTTGTTCCATGATGAACACATCCATTATTTACAAAGCAATCCTCCAAAAATCAATTATTACAATGAGAATGATTCAGGCGGCGGTGTGCATGTTAAACAGCAGTGAGAGGACAGTGTTAATGACACTATGGGGACACAGGGCGTCAGACTGATGCGAAACTACAGCTACTTACAGGAAATCTTGAATTCAAATGAGGTTAAAACAATTATAATCCTGAAATATATTTTGTTATGCTTAATCAAAGCTGTAAAAAAAAGGTTAATTTTGTTACCCCCTGAAATCAACTTCAATCCAAGTCATCAAAGCAGTGGGCTTTGATGACTTGGATTTATATATACTATGTATATATAACTATGATAAACGTTGTTGAATATGGAGTTAAATGTCTTGAATCATCACCACTGTCATAAGACCCTGCTAAATCAGCAAGGACAAACTCAAAAAAACTCAGTGGGAGAAAATGAGAAACCTCGAGGAGGCCCACTGTGAGGAAGGGATGTGCTCCCGCGGCCGGAAGGGCTGTAGATCCAGGACTGAGGCTGTAGATCCAGGACTGAGGCTGTAGATCCAGGACTAAGGCTGTAGCTGTAGATCCAGGACTGAGGCTGTAGACCCAGGACTGAGGCTGTAGACCCAGGACTGAGGCCACATGATGCAGGACTGAGGCAGCCCAGGCGGCGAGAGGATACAGCCCATGAGTTGGGCCGGGGAGGACAGTCCACAGGTGTAGATGGAGGAGGCCGGGTTAGGGGTCCCATCATACCACCATGAAACAGACAATAAGACAGCGGGCGCATAGCAATGAACAGGCTACAGCTGAAGTCATAATAATGACAGAGGTAGGAGAGGATACTCCTCAAGTCACCGCGCTCGTTAGCTTATTTGAGCTTCTTTTTCTATCAAGTCTGGAGCCATGTGATCAGGGCCGCAATCAGTGCATAGTATTTAGCATAAATAAACTGAAGAATCCCTTTTCACAACATTATAATTTTGGGCACAACCAACATGCATTATTATTGTAAGGGAAATTGTAGCTACCCCAATTTTAAATTTGTGAATTTTAGTTGCGGTTCAGAAGGAGACACGGGGAAGACATGGACACTTCCTGAGGCTTCATCGTCCAGCTCTGTTTCTTGCAGCTATGTATTTATTGCGTGCACAGGTTACACACAAACACACACTTGCAACAAGCAGAGAAAGACTGCCTGACTATTTGAGAAGGACTGGTCTATGTGAAGTACGTACTGTATAGGCGCTTACGAACTCAAGTGATAGTTGACATTTCTGATTTTTGTTGCGCATGTGTACATGTGTACCACTTATGTGCACCCCTGCTTATACACTCCAAGACACAAAAGACTCAATTGGTCAAATAAAAAAGAGAAATCACAGCTATTACTACCACTGCTTCTACGATTCAGTCTAATGTCAGCACCAGCTACAGCAAACAGCCCATAATAAAGCTTCTCTTGTCCCTGCTGGTGCCTGCCTCTGGTTTCTGTGGCGACGCGCTGAGGTCCGTCTGGTGATAATTAGTCGGTGTAGCCGCGCTGCTGAACACGCGGCAGCTGTCACAGGTGCATTGTGGGAAACGCGGTTCGCACTGACAGCCGTGACTGCACCATCTGGGCCTGTCCCCTCGCTAAGGCAACACTACAGAGGAGGGGAGGAGGGAAAGAGGGGAGGTGGGGAGGAGGGGAGGAGGGAGGGGGAGAGGAGATTGTGAACGAGCCCAGCAGGACGTCCGTGTTGTAATCGCTAAAAACTAAAGTCCGCTTTGTCACAGTTTTGCGCCTGCCGCGATGGGGTTTGGAAGCGTCAAAAAAATATCTAGATCCTCAAAGATACTCCTCCATCGCTACAGTATTCCGTACATTGGTCATGTTGTGTGATCATACACAGTGCTCGATAGTAGAGCCCTGCACTTGAGCCCTTGGCCCGAGGGCCCCGACGGGCCGACAGCCGAGGGCCGGGCTTCGGGCCGATGACCGCATAATGACCTCGGACACGGGCCGGGCTCGGGCTCTTCATTTTTAGAGCGGCAGAATAGATTTACGAACGCACCCACTGAATATAGCGTTCTATCACGCTGTAGTGTTTGTTGTTCTGTGTAGTGTTGTCATTGACGGCACATAGTGTTACTTACAAGTGTGTTGCAGCATCTGGGCATCATACAGATGCGGCCGTTCACTCTGCACCACTCCGCACACACAGAACTCATTGCAACACATCACTACCATGTATAACTCCGCCCTCTAGCTAAGTCTGCGTTCATATCAGTGCGCGGCACTATATACTACGCTAAAACATTGTTATGGGAGGTTACAAAAAAAAAAAAAAGGCGGGCTTTATGCGGGGTTCGGGCCGGGCCGGGCTGGGGCGCCACCCCCTCGGGCCAGGGCTGGGCTCGGGCCCAGATAATAGGCCCGTGCAGGGCTCTACTCGATAGTCTTCAGACCCAATGGACCTTCCACATTTTGACACATCATGACTACATTTTTCTTTTCTTTTACAGGTGTGAAGTCTACTATGACGGCTGAACTCCTGGGTTTGATCCAGTATCTGCCCAGGCCTTTTTGTGTGGAGCCTCAGAAAGACCAGGACTGACCTGTCCTTCAGAGCCTCAGCAAGTCCAGGATTTCAGAACTGATCTATTCATTTTACTATTTATGATTTTATCCGTCTACTCTCTGCTTTGCCTCAGCGGCTGATTAATTTCCCCTTGTGGGATTAAAAAGGTATCCACCTTACAGACATGCTGACTGGTCTCTTTCAAATATAGAACACTTAAAACTGGAGTAACTAACATGTATCATGTATCGTTCACAGCTCTCGCAACAGTTTGGTTCTACTATGAATGTATTTTACCCTCTGTCACTTCTTTATATTTGACTTCTCAGTGAAAAAGAGACGGTCTGATTTGCTCACAAAATGTTACTTAAAAGAGATTATTTCTTTTGGGACTAGCACAATATATTTATGAAATAAATTACCCCAGCACCACCCTTCAAGTGAATACTTGCTTCAAACCTTATAATAATGCATTTGTTTTATATATATGTTTTTTGGACACTCAAAGATGCTTCACGGTGGTGATTTGACTACTTCAGTAGCCACAGCTGCCCTGGGCATACTGACAAAAGCCAGTAAGGCCATCTGCCACTGCAACCACCACCAACAATGTGTGCAACAATTCACACATTCTCCATCAGGTGAGGTCCGGTCCGCTCTTTTTTGAGGCTCCATGAGGTGAGAACTGGGCATGTACGAAAACCGTTATTTCTCATTTAAGATCAAAATCCCTGTGTGAGAGCATGAGAAGAAGGCAAGACAAGGCAAGTTTATTTGTATTGCACAGTTCATACACAAGGCATCTCAAAGTGCTGAACAAAACAAGATACAGACAATTAGACAAGGCATTACAATCATAAATAATCACAGAAAATTAAAAAGAGTATAGATAACATCCCACAGTTGTATTCACAGTTAAACAGAGCTGTTTTTCACCTGGATTTGAAGAGGCCTGTCTCACATTTTCAGGAAAACATGTTCAGATTTCAGCTGCATACATCTGAAACGCTGCCTCCACCTGTTTAGTCCTGACTCCGAGCACCTGCAGGAGGCCAGAAGAACACCCTTTACTCTCCCACCTCAGTTTGAGTTTTTCCATGAATTTGCTTTCAGCGCCCCCTGCTGGGTGCACCAAGCAGCACCAACCTCGCAGTGACAGGCCCGGGAACGGCTGTTGTAGTGTACGTCATGTGACCATGTCGGATGGAGGTAGTTTCCCCAACGTTTTGAAATCCACAATGGACATGTTTTCGGAACTAGTTTTTAAAGACATTTTTTACTCGTCGTCATCAAGTTTCATGGTGTTTTTACAGTCAGAACTACAGGTGTGGAGTCAGACTGCAAGATTCAGATTCATTGTTTTTGCCATTAGCAGTAAAACCACATTGGAATGCATGTGCAAAAGTACCCGGTGAGCACCCAACAGGTACATGAATGGATAAAACAAGCTAAAAGTACACAGAACTAACGTCTATCTAAAGTAAAGTAAATCAACAAAAAAAGTGTCAATATAACTCCAGGAACATTAAAATGCTTTGTTTGAACCAGGAACAAGTTACAAAAATATGCATTGTGCATAAACTGATGGAAAGAAGCTGTTTTGCATATCCATAAGTCCTGCAACTCCGCCAACGATAAAATGTGCCAGGGGGAAGAAGCTGGAACATGGCTATTTCAGGGACCAGAAGAGTCATTGATTATTGGATCTGGATCAGTGGGGGCTGGTCCCGCCTCAAAAGTGGCCAAAATGACGTGCGCTGACATGCTTACAATACCACCCCGGGCCGATGGGGGTGGACCCGGAAAAAGAATTAACCAATGCTAACATATAGCATTGGCAGACCTCTCAAAAACGTCTTTACAGGATGGACCAAAAGTTGGCTCTTGGCCCAAAGCTCCGTTCCACATGTGTGTCAATGCTGAGGGGAGTGCATTTTTTTGGACCACTCTAGTTTACTTGCTGTGAATTTTTGAAGTCTCTCGTTCAAATAAATGGAGCTCTCGCCGGCTGACGCACGCATTGTGGGCTGGACCACTCACGGCCATTTTGGATAGAGCTCTATTTTTGGCCCATTCGTTTGAACGGCGGAGATAGGCGTGACTATGTCAGAAATGTTTTACAGTCTATGGTCTGGATTCATAAACAGGCCTCTCACAGCGAACTAATCACGACTTTCTTATAGTCGTGATTAGACAGACAACAGCTTCCACACATAAAGTTCTGTTTTTATTTGATGTGGGTGGAGTCAAGTGCGCACTGAGTCTGAAAATCAAACCTACAGTGATTTTCCTTTGAAATGAAGATACAGTATTCTTCCTGTTGTCTTTCTTGTTCCGAGCAATCTGAACAGTGAGGGTGGACATGCAAGTCCCTGCAACAGAAAATACCCCTGGCTCATGTTGAATCTGTGATGGTCCCGTCCTGATCAGATCCAGACTCACCGGGTCCGCCAGCTCTGGTGAATACACAGGAGTTCTCACGATAACTATCCCGCAGACGTTCAAACGCTGTGTAAACAAAAGCCATATTTACTCATACAACCACTCTCCCGTTCTGTTATGTCCTGTTTCAATGTCATTGGGCCTTACACAAAGAAGGAAGAGCGTGCTATGGTGAATAGGCCCATTTTCTTTTGTTCTTTTGATGTGAGACCTGACTTCCTAATGGGCCATCAAATAATAAAGTGGTTTTACATAAAGATCCCGTGGCTCCCTGGGTCACAGCGTCCTTAAACACTTAAACTGCTTTAAAGCCTGTTGTTCACATGTTGGTCAGGTGAAAAAGGTTTTAAAACTACACACACAAGTCACACGAGGGACAATACTTTGCATTATAATAAGTGACTAGTCTTGGAGCTGTGTTTCGGTGAATGAAACTCTGCCAGGCTTTTTGTAAAGTAGTTGTATTTGTTTGAAAGTCCACATTGGATCATGACATTAGAATTCTAAGTTATATTATCATTTTAATGAATATTTAATGCAATGCCTTCAGGGTAACTGTGTTGTCACGCTAGGAGGTGATAATATGCTTAGTCTGCAAATGCAATGTTTGGGTTGTTGTATTGGAAAGTGTACATTGCTAGGTGCCATTTTTGGGTTGTCAGCAAATGATTAGCCTGGCCTTAGCCATTTGACCGTACACTCCGGTCAAAAGATTTTCCTGCATGTAACGTCTGGGTCTGGCGTCTTAGAGGGATTAAAATCCCTTGAAATTTGAACGACCAATCAGAGAGCGCGGAAGGCGGATGTTGTTTAGATGTGGGTGACGTCAAGAGTTTGCGTCGAATGGGCAGGTCGTAGTTTGGCAATGGAGAAAAATGCGATGGTAAAGTAATCCGGTCTGGTTCTATCAAGAAATGAAGCCGGAGCAAGAGGAATGTTTAGCAAAATGTAATCTTTGGCAAAGATTGTGGCGCTACTCCCCACGGGCTCCGTTAGCAGCAAAGGAGATAGCTAAAGCTAGGCTAAATGCTAACGACTCACTCGGGCTCATTACATACGTCACGGTAAACTCAGATCCAATCGTTTCAATCTGTAAAAGGATTGGGAGGAAAACCCCTCCCACCTGTTCACGGAGCTCAATGGAGCACCTCCAGACCTTAGTACGAAATGTAATGTGTACTATGGTGTGGTACGACCAGTCTAGCAAATGATGAGACTGGAAACCTTTTAGCAACATGTTTTAACAAAGTGTCGAACATAGGTATTGGGTTGGACAATTTAAATCTTTGGAGTCACAATAATGTGACCATAATGAGTTTGTTTTTGTTGTTAAATAAAAACTCTACCACGATGGGACAGAGCAGCAGGAGTCTCACCACAGCAGGACCAGAAGCTTTGCCACAATTAAATATCTGACCTCTTTCTGATTTGGTTTTGTCCAGGTACTGTTGTTTGGCCAGCTTTAACAGGTCACACACTTGTAGTAGTCTTTTACAATGTGATTCCCTGGGGTCCCGGGTGCACTGCATTGTGATTTTAGAAGACTGATTTTGGCCCTTTAATTTTGACACATAAAAAAGCACGGGTCTGCAGTATAAAAAACACCTCTACATGTATCAGTGTCAAAAACAAAAACTTTCCTCAATCTTTTCCCCAACACTCTCCCGGTTGCTTTGCGCTCATTTATTCCCCGTCTCGCAGCCACTGTTTACTTCTAATGCCCCTCCCGAGACGAGCCTTTCCACTTGAAGAGCAGCGTATGCAGATGAGCCATTAGCATACCCCGCTACGTGACCGGGCCATCCAGTCGACAAGGAACATAAGAGGAGAAAAGTGACGCTTAAAACAACAAACTTTGAAGGGAGGGGACCCGCGACCTTGAGGTTGGAGGGAGTAATTAAGCAAACGTGGTAATGACGAGGAAAATAGGAAGTGAGGAGACCAAGGACAAGTGTCTGGGAGATGTGCCTGAAGCGCTTTGTGTCAAGAGAAAATGAAGAAAGGCTGATGTCGTGTTCGAGTTATCGGGAAAATGTTTTTCAGAGAAAAGTCTTGCACGAAGGCGATGGCTTGACTTTATACTTTTGAAGTGCAAATTCTGGAAATGTATTTAAACTTACTGTATTTGTACTTACACATTCTATTTTTTGATCTTCTATGATAATATTGTTCCCTCAGACGCTTGGTGTTAATTCTGTGTAACTTCATCGATCCTCTGACGAAGACGGAAAGGAAAATGGAAACTGCAGCCACAGCTTTGCGTGGTTTGGTTTGCACGATAGAGTAGACCTCTACGAAGGACACAAAGCAGAAGTTGGTCCGCCGACATCGTTGTTTGTTTGTTTTCGGCTACTGTGCATGCCCAAAACATAGTCGGGGTAAATTTGTCCTAAAGTTTTTTCAAAGCTTGCGTTTTCACCACTGATGCCGTGTAAATGAAAGGCCAATCTGAGAGTCAAGTCTGCCGTCTTACTGACAGGACCATACTCTGTCCTAATGCTTTAGCCTTCACCAAACACATAGTGGA